TACTCGACCTGTGGTCGACTACGTGGGAGTCCAGCGACATAGCCATTACGCTAACTGCTGGTCCCCCTCATTCATCATTTTTTGATGAGAAAATGAAGTTCACTGAGTTGCCTGAAGTCACAGATAGAAAGCTACAGAGCTGAGTTTTAGGAATTATTCTATTTAACTGTATTTATTTATTTGTTTATTTTAATTTGACCAGAGAGGGACAGAGCAAGAGAGAGAGGAAAAGTGAGAAAGCAAGCCACCAGGTCCAGCACTTGAACCATGGTCAGCCATGTAGGAGTCCAACTCCAGGCCCCAGAGCTGAGATGTGAACTGTCGGGTTTGCTTAACTCTAGAGCCCATGCCATTAGACCCTGAAGCATACCTCACTGTGAGGTCCTGGGACCATACCTGTTTTCCAGATGAGGAAGCTCAGGGTCAGAGAAGAGAAATAAACTCACCCAGAATAGGCAGGTGGCTGGGCAATGGGCGGGCCCGACATGGACCTCAGGGCAGGCTAGTCCCAGCTCCTGTATGCTCTCCTGTCAAGGGACGGTCCTGGACTCACTTTGTATCTGGGGACGCTAAGGAGCGGAGGGAGAAAGCAAAGGCTTGTGGAAGAAGACGTGGCAGGGGATGGGGAAGGGCCGAGCTCGGCAGGGCTAACAGAGATGTCCCTCAGCAGGATCTGAACTGAGACATAGCACCTGTGGGCTCCCAGCTCAGAACCCCCAGATTGGTAGGAGAAATTAGGATGAGATGAATGTCACATCTCTGAAAGAAAGTGAAGCCCCCAAATGAATTGCGGCCTGAGAGGTGAATGCGGGAGGCCCGCAGGATGGGGGACATCGGACATCGTGCCCCTGTTGGCTGTCACTGGGCAGTGGCTGCTGCCTCTGCAGTACCACTTGCAAGAGCCGTCTCACGCCCCATCATCATCTTCCTGTTACTGTGCAATCGTGGGTCCTTGCAGAAGTGGGCAGGGCCGAGGGCAACTGACCAGCACCCCGATTCACAGTGCCCTGCTTCCTATAGCATCCTCTGAAGGCCTGGAGGTGGGCTGGAGCCAGGTGGTGGGGGAAAGGGAGCAGATTTGGAGGAGGAGCTCGCCTGGCCCTGGAGGAGCAGAAGAACCAGTGAGAGGGAAACTGGCAGGAGGAAGAAAAGGGCACTGAGTAAAAGACACCTTGCCTTTCTTCCAGAGATGCAGCAGCTTAGGTAGGACAACCACCCAAGCTGTCCTCCCAGGAAGTCAGGACAGCATCCACGCGCAGGGGACCAGGAAGTCGCACCGAAATGGAGCCAAGATCCCGGAAAAGCCATAACCTGCCCTTACAGAACCCTCCAAGCCTCCCTTAGCTGCAGGGTATGGGAGGGACTCCAGCCCACACCCCCAGGGACACAGAGGAGTTCTCAGGAGTGTGCAAAGAAAAGGAGAAGCAAAACACAGCAAGGCAGGGTGCGCTCGCCCCTCCCCACCTCGGGGGGCTCCTCCGCTCTCTCCTGTACCCTCATGAAGATCACAGGCACCGTCTGGCAACCTCCAATTCTTCCTTTTTTTCAAACCGCTGTCTTGTTTGGGGCAAAGAGAATGGCAAGTTTGCACTTGTCTTCCAGCCCCACACGGGACAGGACGGAGCTGCTGTAAGGGGAGGGGTTTACCAGTGGAATGAGGGAAGGAGCCTCGGAGTGACAGGGCTGGAAGGGACCTTGGGGATCATCTGCCCCACAGCCTTGCTGTGGCCTCCACACCATTTCCAGGATCTGCTGCTTGCATCTTGACGGTCACCCCGCATAGCATGAGGGGTTCTCAGGACCTCCTCTCCCAGGCTCCCTAAGGGCACTGCCCTCTTCCCACCACTGAGCAATCCAGCCCCTAGCTTTGTAGATGAAGGAACCGAGGCTCAGGGAGATGTGAGTCCCCCAGAGGTAATCTTCATCCCAGGACCCAGCCAGGACAGGAAACTCAGAGCTAATCTGTTTCCATCCTCCCACTTTTCTCTCTCCCTGGAGAGTAAGAGGGCTGTCCACAAAGCACGCCCCTCACCAGCCAGTGCAGGCTGCCAGAGTCAAGGGTCTGAGAACTGTGTCATCCTCAGCGATATCTCGTCATTGCTCCTTCATCATGGGCACCCTGAACACTCTGTGAGGCTAGTCTGGATCCTAAAGATCTCTTCCCTACAGGAAACGGAGCATGGGGACTGGCCCAGTCTCAGAATGACTCAGCCCCACACTCCAAGAAAGTCTTCACCCCCTTTCAAGAGGTGAGAGGAGCAGAACTGGGTCGGAAAGTGGAGACAACACCCGCCCATAGTGGGGGACACTGCTCTTTCAGGAATTTGCCCCTAGTTTTAAAGTATCCTCTACTGCCCCTGCAGCTGGCGGGGTGAAGGGTTAGGAATGAACTGGTCAGGACCCTCTCTTGAAGCTAGGAAGGCAGGTTTGAAGAAAGGTCGTGCCTGTCTTTGTGTTTACACACGTAGGCATGATTTCGTGGGTTAGCTTCAACAGCGTCCACGCCGGTCCATGTCTACATGGGTAGGGTTGCTCAGTGGGCTTACCCCCCAAGGCCTTAACTGCAAGGGGGTCTGCCCTGGAGCTGGCCGTTTTAGTAAGGGAAAGGCTACTTTCTTCTTGGTCCTCAGAGGGGACTCAGACAGGAACCGGGACCAAGCCCAGAGGGTGGAGAGGCATTGGGGGTTGAGTTGGAAGGGCATTTCTCTTCCAGGCGCTGGAGCCGGTCTGTTTCAAGGTCCTATGTGACCGTGTCCCGCGTGTCGGGCTGTGACGGTGGACACGCCTGGGTGCCCGTGCATCCATGTCTGCCCCAGCCTCCCCACACCTCGCTCGCTCTTTGTCTCCTGGCGGAGGTGTGCGTGCAAACCTGCGCCGCACCGCCCGCCTCGCGTGCGAGCGCGGGGCGCACCCTCGCTCCCCCACTCCTGCGAGGAGAGGACGAGCCCGGTGCTGTTTGGTCTGGAGCCGAGCGGGGCTTGCATTGATCCATTGATTGTGCGCGGTCTGCGCCTGACCTCCCTGCTCCCGGGGAAGCCGTCTCCATGGAGACCGGGCCCGCTCCCCCAGCGCCGGATTGTAAATTCCTGCAGGCAGCGGCCCGGCAGCCTGGGGAGGGGGCCGCCGCGCCCGGGCGCGCAGGGGGGGCGGCCCGCGCCCCCCGGCCCC